CGGGGAACCCCCGCCGGGGGCCCGGTGGGGGGGGGGGGGGGGGGTCAGAAGCACTCGCAGCGCCCGAGTTCAGGCTGCACCACAGTGCCGATTCGGGGGGGTAGGACCCGTGCCCAGAGCACAGGAACAGAGAGCGAGTGGACAGTGTCTGAAAACCTGTCTTGTCTTGTCTTTTTTTTTTTTTTTTAGTACAAGGTAAAACCTTTATTACAACTTTTCATTCATAGGTATACAACATCTGAAAGACAGATATGGGGAAAAAAAGTAATATTGTTATAAAATGTCACATTTATTGCTACATTACTGTTATATACAGGACAGTTCTCAAAATCTACTTTAAAAAAGTTAGGATTATTTAAAAATTCCAAATAATCCAGCCAGCTGTTTTGACACTTGTATAAAATTATTTAAAAAAATGAAAACAATTCATATCTTGAGGCACTCAGAAACACAATTTTATCCTCCAATTGTGATTCATTTCAAAGAACAATGCATTTCCCCACCCCCAAATACTTTATTTTTTTTTTTTTGCTGGGTTAGGCATATATATATATATATTTACTATATATATAGTTCAAAACTATAATGTGTATCTGATTTAAGAACAAGGATTTCAGCCACTTAAGTACATCTGGATTTACAGGTAGGCAGCATAAACATCAAAAGCAAGGACCATTTTTTTAAAGGCCAAAAACCAAAACCAAAAACAACCCAAAACTTTCTACGGGGTTAAAAATAAACAAGTTCCGCAGGCATCTCCCATCTGCTCTCCCACCCCCCCGTCCTACAAAAATATATAGAAAGAGCAACCCAGTAACGCTTTGTTTCCCCAACGAGCTGGAGCCCTCCATAGAAAACGGGTCATTTCCTGCAGACCGCGAGGTCCAAGCATGCGGTTGGGGTCATCCCTGCTCTGCTTCACCAGGTGCCTCTTCCTCCTCTCCCGGCAAATTAACCACTGCTGGCAGGAGGGTGCACGGCTTCCCACGGCTCCTTCCCTCCCCGAGAGGCCCCATGTTACAAGGTTTGCTCAAAAGCTGGTGGGTTTCAAGTGATTTGGGAAGACGTGGCACCGGGAAGGGGGAACCGCAGCGTCCCCAGCTCGCTGCTGTGGGAGCTGCTGCGGGGAGCTCCGTGGCTCCCCAGGGCACAGCCCCGGGATGCAGGGCACAGAGATGCTCTTCGGCAAGAGGCCTCGGTACCCAGGACACCCCATGTTGAAGCACAAACCCCTTTGCTCTCCCATACTGGTGCAGCTGCACTTTGCCAAGATGTAACAGGGCGCGAGTTTTACTCCCTCTCCTTCCAACACGGCGGGTGCTTGGCTGGACCAGGGTGGGTACTGCAAGACCTGAGGAGCAAAAGAGGCGTACAAAAGCAGAGGAACAGAAATACCGGCGTGAAGACCCACGGCAGGGCTGCCTCTTGCCCCCTGAGGGTGGGATGCAAGATGGACACAGAAGTCTTGGCAGAGAAGACGCCTGCGGCGTCACGCAGGCAAAGGCACCGCAGCTGCCGGCTCTCCAGAAGGGGTGAACTGCCCTGAAGATCAAACCTCTGCAGAGAGCACCGGGTCCCCCCACACCTGCCCCAAGGGCAGCAGGGCAGGGAGAGGCAGCCGTGCCGCAGGACCGACCTGCAGCATCCACCTCCCAAACCCTCCCGCTTCCGCCCCAGCATATGGGCAGCTGGTGGCACGGTTCTCCCCCGCTGCGAAGAAACCCACGGTGGCTGTGCCTGAAGGGAAACAGCTCGGAGGTGCTGGTTAGAGAGATTGGGGAGCGCAGGGGGAAGGAAAACACACCTTCAGGCTTTGAGGCGGTTGAAGGAAGAGCAGCCAAGCCAAGCCTGAGGCTCAGGCATTAACGGAGGAGCCCGTAGAGCCGGGCAGCAATGAGGTGGGACACAGCTTCTCCATTCAGGGGTACTGGGGGAGATGGTGCGAGATGAAGGATGCTGGCAGCGAGCTGCCAAGCATCGAGCAGAAGGCACAGGAAGGTGAAGGGTGTGTGGAAGAGCCCTAGGGCCAGGCCTTGCCCCCTCCAATTCAGTGCTCAGCTCCTGCAGCATGAGTTGGAAGGGGTGTTCCTGCGGTCTCACCGCTCATCTACCCCCCACCAGCTCCAGGGCACAGGTCTTGAAATGCTTTTGGAGCTGCTAGAAATGAAGCTGGACCCTGAGAGCAGCAGGGAGCAGGAGCTCAGAAGTCATGGACAAGAGCAGAGAGAATGGGCTGGGATGGGATCTGGAGAGCCCCGGGGGAGAGGAGAAGGGCTTGCATAGGATACAACAGGGCAAAGACCTTGTGCAAGCTTGTGGTACGGAAAACAGGTCTTGCTATTGCTGGTGTCAAGCAGGAACGGGGGAATCCAGGGGCCGCGGCTTGCTCCAGGTTAGCCAGCACTGCACATCAGGGGCCGATGGCTTGTCCTGGCCCAACTCCAGTACTAGCTTTGCTTCACCTCCCCATTCTCGGCTTTTTTCTAAAACCCCAGTCAGGGGCTTGCTGAAACTGGAGCTGGCCCGGAGTCACCACCATAGCACAGAGCAGGGCCTGCAATAGGACCATGGGCTCCACTGGCACTGAGGTTGGCAGCCTCTCCATGGGAGCACAGCTCAGGGATGCAGGGGATTGGGGGTTTCAAAAGCCTCCTGTTTCTCAAGGCCCCCCCCCCCCGAGGGGGAGGATGTGCTGAATTGCCCAGCAAGGGCCCAGGGCCCAAAGGCTCTGCTGGCTTCAGTGGGTACACGCATGAGACGCAAAGGACCTTTGAGAGCAGCTTCTGCACTGAACCTGAAATTGCAGACTCCTGGGGAAATCCCGGCCTGATTCTGTCCTTCCTGTTCAATCGCTACCGGGCAGCGAGTGCAAAACCTCTAGGAAACCAGCTCATCACCGACACACGGGCGAGGGGAAGAAGCCGTTCACTGAAGTCACAGCTGGGGAGGTTCCGTATCACACTTCTGCATTTGTCTGCTGGAGAGGGCAAAAACCCCAACTGCAAAGCAGCCAGACCCCTGGCCCTGGCGTGATGGCACACAGGGAAGGGGCAGCAAGTTGACCCCACCGTATGGGGCTGGCATGGACCTGCTCCCGACAGCCAGATGCGGGATCTTGGGGTGCCCAGCTAACTCGGCTGCCCTGATTCCTGCAAACCATCTGCCTAGGCGCTGCTGCGCCCCTTGCTCCCAGGCTAGAGCTCAGTGCAGACAGGAGGGGCGCAGACTGGGATCCAGATGTCCCAGGTCCTGTCCCTCCTGCTAACACACCTCCGTAGGGTACCAGCGCAAGCTGTAAACGCAGGGGAGCAGAGAGCCAGAGGAGATGTTGGCAAAGAGCTGGAGCTGAACTCAAGCCAGGCAGTTGTTTGGCTCTGAGTAGGTCTGACTGGCGGGTTACAGGCAGGGGAGCGACTGCCAAACCAGAGGTTAGCTGGAATTTTGCTCCCTGGGGTGCGCTGGCAGCGGCTGCAGGGTTGTGAGCAGGAGCAGGCAGACTGCTACCACCACCCGTTGATGTCGAGTGCCTCAGTAAGAGACCGTAAAGGTGCTGTCTCGGGGAGGCTGCAGCTGTTTTGCTCTGGGGCGAAAGCAGGTGAAGAGGGTGAAGGAACAAAAATCTGCAATTTTTACCGTGAATAAACTGGATCCCAGACACCCCCCAGCACCTGGTGGCATGCACAGCTCTCGGGCAGGATGTGCAGGGAAGCAGAGGGCTGCTTGAGGGGCAGGGAAGAGGAGGTCCCCTGGGCTGGGGACCCAGGGCCTGCACCCCAGCGGCTGGCCCTGCCACACAAGAAGTGTCCTATGGCAGCTGTGCGCCTGGGACCCCAGTTCTGCTGTTTGACCGCGATACAGCTGAGCTACTGCGGCCTGGGAAAAGAGAAACTAGAAAATGCACACAGGGGAAGGCAGCCTCTCCCCTGATTCCCTCTCCGACGAAGGAAGCTTTGCGGGGGCTCTCTGGCCCCCAGCGCTGAGGGGCACGCAACTCAGGAGAACCCACGCAGGCAAGGCTGAGAGAGGAAGCAGAAAACTGAATGCCACCCTGCAGCATGTCACCCATCCGTGACCCCTCTCTGTGCAGGACCACCGGCGCAAGGGACATGCAGACAGGCAGAGAAGCAAGTTTGGGGAGAGAAGGGATCTGCAAGATGGCACAGTTGAACGCCAGCAGAGCCGTGGGCTAGGGAGGGCACAGACCCTGGCCCTCTCTGACCATGACACCTGAAGACGAGAGTTTAATTGCAACAGGCTGATATTTTAGGACTGGCCTGGTGGTATTTTGGGGACAGCGTGTGACTGCTCATTTTTAGAAAAGCCACTTTCCCTGGCAGGTTACAGACACCACGTTCACACTGAACCAAACACACTGGCAAGCCAAAGTAATTTTTCCTTGCTGCACTCCGCAGTTGCTCCCTACGCACCTGGAGAGCAGAGATGCCACCGAGGCTGCGCTGGGCTGGCGCAGGCAGCAAGCATGATGGCACACAAAGCACCCTGCACCATCGAGGCAGCTCCCGGGCACAGCACTACCAGCCCCCGACATTGCGCTTCCATGCTGGAGGAACCAAGATCTCCTCCGAACCCTGGCACTGAGGGTTTATGCTCAAGGACCTTCATCCAAGCCTTGCCAAGGAAGTCAGCTGGTTTCGCTGCCAAGAAAACAGCTTAGGCCACCTAAATGCAGATTACAAGCCCCATCTCTGTTGCAATGCCTGGTGGTTTGGGGATGATGGGAAAGGCTCTCCCTCATCAGGAGTCCCCCCCCGGCCTGCAGAACATCAGCCAGGACTCGGAGGGGATGAAGGAGTTCAGCAAAATTTTGAACAAATCATGAATCTTCTCAAATTTCCCATTTTGTTGAGCATCTGGATTTTTCTTGACTACAATCTCTTTTCTTTAAATCCAGTTGTACATGACTGCCACCTCTAATTCTTGTTGCAAAATCAAAGTGTTAGGGAAGCACTTTTTAATTTTTTTGTACGTTTTCAAGCTTGCCAGGGCTGGGACATTGCTCCATCCCTCCCCGGTCCTGGGGCAGTGGCACTGAGCCTGCAGAAAACCCCAAGCAGCGAGCGCCCTGCCAGCCCCAGCACCGTCCTGCCGACGGGGCAGAAACGCTCGCGGGATGAAGCAGCCTCTTACAGGCTGCAGAAAGCAGCTGACATGTCCCTAATTCCTACCCCAGAGCATGAATCAGGGTTGTTTGAGCATCCGGACCTGGCCAGCGGGTTACGGAGGGGCACTGCCCCCTCCCCGTGAGTTTTACCATCCCCAGACTGAACTTGCTCCAGCATCTGAAGTACAACCCAACCCGGCAGGATGCTTCAGGAAGACACAGCTTTTGCTGCAAGGGAGCTGCTCCACGAGGGCAAGGCTGTCACGCACAGAGGAAAACCTCATCCGTCTCGTGCTGCCCAGTGCTTAAGCAGGCAGAACCACCCAAGGGAGGGAAGAGTGTCATAACCTGATGAGCTAATTAGGCTGAAACATGTCTGTTGACACAGGCAAGAAGAACGCGTGTTCGGCTGCAGGGACCACAGCCACTGACCTTTCCCGGCTTTCCTGGGGACAGAGCTGGAGGCTGCTGTGGTCTCAGGTATCACCACACAGAAGCGATGGTGGGAGCAGCGGGCTGTGGGCAGGGAAAGCCAGGAGCACCCGAAAGCCTCAGAGCTATCGCTGGACCTTGCAGAGTCCCAGGGCAGTGCCGGTGCCAGGGGCAGCAGGGAGAGACAGTCTCATACTGTTCTGGCACTTGTAAGTGGCTCCTCTGAGATGCTAAAGGGGCTGAGCCCACGGTACCCGGGTGTACGTTGGAGGTGAGCAATGTCCTGAGCATTTCCAGTAGGCTTTGCTGGACCACAAAGCATAGCTACAAGCACGGAAGAGCACCAGGAGGTTATGCTAAAGCCTGGGGTTGCTGGAAGTGCCACAGGACATAATCCTGTTCGCCAGTCCTTCCCTTTCCCTGTGCCAAAGCAACACAGCTTCCCCAGGAGCACAGGCCAGAGAAGCAGAGGGGAGAGATGGACCCTGGTGCCGGGGGTCCTACCATACTCACTGTCCCCACATCCCCCCCAGGCCAGCACCCGTGCCCCATGAACTATCCTGCCCGATTGAGCTCTGCCAGGCAGATCTGGGCAGCAGCCGGCCCCAGTCCGAGAGCGTTACAGACACTGCTGAGATGGGATTTAACATCCCCGTGGGGAGGTGACCCCGTCCGCCTGCAGAGCTGGGAAGAACTGGGCACAAAGTATTTCAGAAGGGGAAGGAGAAGGAAGAAACAAGAATAAATTCCCAGTGGACGCTTTTCCATTGCCAACTCCAGAACGGCTGCCACAGCTCAGCACCACCGAGCACCCCTTTGTTTGCTCCCGCACCTCCGGGGCACCCTGCCATGCGGTAGGGCTGCCGGGGGTCTTCCTCCCGCTGAGCACACCGGAGCGGTCTGGAGTGACACTGGGAAGCCCTTGGAGCAAAGGCATCGTTGGCCCAGCTTGGCTGCTGGAGCATCTCACGCAGGATGGGCGCTCACTGCTCCCCTCCTTTCCAGCACAGAAAGAGAAGCCCACATGCAGGTGACAGCGGCCACTCTGCATCCCCACGGCAAGCCGGGTGGCATGCTGAGCTGAGTTTGCCTCCAAGGATGCTCTGGAGATACGACAGCAAGTGAAGGTGGGGTATGAAACCACCTCTCTCCCCATGCCTGCAGCGTTTTGCACTTCTGATGATGGTGGCTCCAGTGTGGGGAGAAGCTGCGCAGAGACAGGGATCCTGCTGCTGGTCCCGGTGTGCTGAGGGCTGGAGCGAGCGCACATGCCGGGTAGCTGCTCCTTTTCTTGCCACCTTGTGCTCTGCTGCCTGCCGCCAGGGTCCATCTGCTGCAAGGTCACCAAGCACGGTGTCCCGCTGCTGCCTTTGCTCCATCCGCCTCTGCCTCTTCCCGGTCCTCCAGCTTTGTTCAGTTCATCTTTGTTCAGCGCTGCCCCTGGAAGCGCCTCTGACAGCGGGTGTTAGCTCAGACTCATGGGCAAGAGGCGCTTTCCTCCGCCCTGGGCTTTCGTCTTGCATCTGTGTTGCTTCTTTGCTTACCTTGAAAGCGCCCCAGTCCCTCGGTTCTCTTCGACCCCCCAAGGCCTGCTCTCTCCCAGCAGCTCGTCCTCCCTTTTGGACAGCCGCGAGGCACCTCCTCTCCCAGGCGGGACCACGGCCTCTGGGATCCTCCAGGAGTAAAGCAAATCTTGCAGAGACCCTTGATGGACCTCAGTCCCCTCCTGGGAGGAGCAGGAGCACCGCTGAGGGATACTGCTGCAACTTGCTTTGCAGTTTAACTTCCTTTTCCCAAATCAGAAGTGGCCAAAGCAAAGAGATGGTGAATTCAGCACGAGTTTGTTTTTTTATAATGGAAGGTACAAGCCAGGCAAGTAAGAACATCCCCTCACTGTGGCTACATTCGCTTTTAGTGGCTTTCAGAGCCGAATCTGAGAATTCCTCTCTTTATATCCAGTCTCTCTTAATACAATTTTAATATTCTGGTTGATCCTAAAGATGCAACGTTAACTATAGAAACAGCAGCAGAAAAGCGTGGGGTACAAGACATTTTTTTATACAAAAAAAAATTCTTTTCGTTGCTTACAAAACATATGCAAAAGAAGCTAAAAAAACCAAAAGGCATTGCTATTTGTTCTACATAAAAAATCTCATAACTAATGTTCTTTTTTTTTAAAAAAGAAATATTGAGCTTAGGCACAATTTTGCTGCTGGCTGCTTGTGAACAAGCCAAGAGAACACGCCACCCCCTCCTAACTGAGTGATATGTATTGACTGTTCTGCACTTTATACTTAAGGCAATTTTTTTGTTTTTGTTTTGTTTTTGACAAGGTGTTTTTTCCACCCCTTACGTCATGCCAGGATCCATCCACGTGTGTCAGTATTAGCAGTACTAAAGTTTATGGTTCGAGAAGGTTGCAGGTCACACCGAGGGTTTTCTTCCTACAGATCTCTCTATCCAGAGGAACAAAAAGATCTACAAATAAAAAAAACCAAAAGCCTGAAGTGAGAGAAACTCAAATGAAACTCTGCTCTTTGCATGGGGGGGGGCACAAGCCCCCCTGCTGCAGCCTTGTCTCTGCAGGAGAAGTCAGCCCCGAGGGCTCGACGTGGCTGCAGCAGAGCTGAGACACACGCTCGCTATTCTGCCAAGACACCGGCTTTGCTGTTTCTTTTCTTTTTCGGACAGCCCCAGGCACCCACCGGCGCAGGGGACGTCGGGGGACCATGGCCCCTCCGTGCGCTCCGGGCCACGCGGGTGCTACGGGCTGAGGCATTGCAAGCCCCGCAGAGGGGGCTGACCCCCCTGACAGGGTCAGCCTCTGACCCACCGCTCCTGGATCTGCTCAATCCCCCACCGACATCCCTGCACTGCTCCCGCCAAACAGGCTCAGCTACTCCTGGCCAAGCACGGGGTTCCCTTAAAAACGGGGACAGCCCAGCAAAGCCTGCGCCTGCCACGGTCTCGCTGGAGGGATTTCACCTTCTGCGTCTTTCTTGGCATTTCTGGGACTTGCACATTCCCTCCCATAGGGCCACCAGGCAAAGGAGTTGCTGGTTTCCAGTAGCCAACTGGGGCAGGGCTGGAAGGCGCAGAGCAAGGCTGAGCTCGCTCAGGGTGGCGAGAGCACCAAAACTCTCTGTCCCGGCTACGGGGCTGCACCTCTCCTGCGGGGCAGAGGCTTTCGGTGTCCACGGACGAGCAAACGACATGCACGTGCAAGTCATTTACTTAAGGTAAATTAAGAAGGACATTGACTGGTGCTGAACGAGTGGGGCTGAGCAGCCAAAGCAGAGCAGCGCGCATCGGCAGCGGGTTGGACCCGCAGCGGGGTGCTGGGATCACGGGGTGGGGGACGATACCTTTACATGTGTCCAACAGGGTTGTGACCATCTCCTAGACCAGGATGTGAAGCTGAAAGTGTCATCTGGGGATCTCCTACTACTCCGGACACTTTCTCCTCTTCCCGACGCTTCAAGCAGGCTGCTTTAGGGTTCAGATTGCGCTCTATGCCAAAAACAGCAAGGAAGGGAGGGAAGCAACCTCAGTTTGGGCAACAGCATCGCACAAAGCAACAGCATCCAAAAGAGAGAGTGAAGACAGAGTCCCAGGACAGACACACGGGACCATGCGAGGAAACAACCTCAGTGCAAGCTGCTCTTCGCTTGCCGCTCCTTGCAGTGGCTGCAGTAACTTGGCCGGACCCCTGCTAGAGCAAAACCCCATGCCCGGCTGAAACACCATGCCAATTTAAACATGTGCTTGCTTACAGAAAACCCCAAGTGCCTCAGCCAGCTCTCGGAGTTGAGGACTGAGTTTTCCAAAGCTGCTTAATGGGATCCAGGTGCCAAATTCCCATTAAGCGTGAGGGGAGACGGACAGAGCGGCCTCAAATCCACCCCAGGCCGGGGCTTTGGAAAGCTCAGCCTGCCGCGCGGTGCACCCGAGGGTGCTGCTGGCGATGCAAACACGGAACCTCGCACTGAAAGCAGGAGTCACAACAGAGATGCACGCACACACAGAGATGTGAGGGGAGAGAAAGGCCCCGAAATGCACCTGCCAGCTGTTACCATACCTCGTACTTGCTGCTCCAGGCCCAGAATGACCTGCACCGCTTGCTGTAGGATGATCAGTTTGGTCTGTGCTTTGTCCGTTTTTAAGTGCATCTGACACATGCGTCCCAGTTCTTTAAAGGCCTCGTTAATGTCCCGCACACGCACCCTTTCCCTGGCGTTATTGGCCATTCTCCTCTCCCGGTCCCTCAGATCTTTGTCCTCCAGTGACAAGGCCTCGTCTGTACTGCTGGGTTCATAGCACCACAGGGATTAGTCAGGGGGGTGGTACCAAGGGGGGGGGCTATACGTTGCCGTGCTGGTAGTGCTTCTGGTGTCCACTGGAAACGGCTCAAACAGCCTCACTTTGCAAAGCCAATTCGTCTTGGGCACTTCCTGGAGCGGCCCGGGCTATTCGGGCTGTCCGTCACCTCTGCGAGCCGCGTGAAGGTGCTGCCAGCACGGGGCCGGGGGAGGTGCTGCCAGCACGGGGCAGGGGGCCGGGCTCCCACGGGGCTGGAGGGTGCTGCCAGGGGTGAGGGCAGGCAGTAGATGCAGTATTGACACCGACACCTTCTCCCCTCTGCAAAATTTTGCCTTCCTGTTCGTTTTCGGCTGAAAACTAAAAGTTCAGGGGGGGTCTCAGCCAAAACCATCAGGTTCATCCCCAAAGAAAAACTTTTTGGCAGAAAGCAAATCCCTCTTTGCAAGATTTCCTTCAAAAATCCCATCTGCAGCAAAATCCTCCCAGTGAAGGTGTTTCGGGCAGCCGTGCCGCAGCAGCGTGAGGCAGCCTGGCCCGGCACCCTCTTATGGGTGGGGGGCAGCACCGGGGGCAGGAGCCAAGTGCCCTGGCTGCTGCTGAGGGTCAGTCTTGGATGCAGACACTGAACCCGGGTCTTTCAACACAGCCAAAATCACTCCAGAAGGGGGTGATTTTCTTTTCCAGGCACGGTCAGGAGCTTTGGGAGAGCCTCCACCACTGGCAGCACCCCGGGGGTGCCCGAAACAGGCAGGGACAGGGGGGAAGGCAGAGTCATGCTGGCAGCATCTTAAACCGTGGCCTTGCCTGCAGCCCGTCCCCTCCAAACTTCCAATTTACTGTACAGACGACCTTCTCCCCCAGAGCAAAAATTCTTGCAGGAAAGACACCTATCTGAGAAGGGTCCTTGGGTGAGACCTGGCACTGGGACAGGCTGTGGCCTTCGGCTCCAGGGGAGCCACGCGGGGATAAGCCTTCACTGAAGAGGGGCCACAGAGTCAGAGCCTTCCTGGGTGCGCTGGGGGGTCTAGAGAGCCTCCAGACAGTGCCTGACCACGTGAAGGGGGAGCAAGGGCTGTCCAGGCAAGCATTTGCCTGTGTGGGACAGAGGGTTGCCCACTGTCCCTGCCTACATCCTCTCCTTGCTGCCTTGTCCCTGCCCATGTCCCCTCCTCGCCGCCTCAGTGCCCCAGCCAGCACTGCCACCTTCTCTTCAGCACGCCCGGATGGCCGGGGGAAGCGGTGCCACCAGCCGCCCCGGCACCTGAGCCCACCCATGGCAGGAACGCAGCTCATTCCTCCAAGCACATGCCGGCAGCCGTGGTTCCCGGCTGGTGGCTCCCCCCAGCAGGGACACAGCTCTGGCAGCGCCTTGCACGCCACAGCCGGGCAGGATGGAGCCGTCTCCCCACTGCCGGCAAGTGCTGCTGGCGGTTTGCACGGCCATGTGGGGTCCTCCGGGTTATAAGGACGAGCAGTGCCTTGGCTGTCCTGTGCCCTGCTCAAAGGGGGCACTGACCTGCCTGCCTGGCCCCCCCGCAACGCCCCCCTATCTTCTCCGTTCCCTTCCTGCCCCGTTAGCTGCTGACGGCAGCAGGAGGATCCTGGCAGCCCCGGCTGGGCACGCGGGGACCCCATGGCCCCACTCCCACGGCAGCCCTGCAGGAGGGGACGTGGGGGTCGGCTTCTCTGCTGCAAAGCAGCCCAAAGGCCAAACCTGCCAGAGAAGGGACACCCTAGCTGCTTGCGCTAACGCCTGCCGACAGCAGCACGTGGGGCTCGGCTCGCTTCCCCAGCTGCATCCAAGAAGGGTTTAAAAAGGGACAAGCGTGGGAGACCAAAGTGAACACGGTGCCAACTCTGTCTAGCCCCTGCCCCCCACCGCCCCTCGGCTCCTGCCTCGATCCGCAAGCAGCAAGTACAAGGTAGAGAGTGGGACCACCGAGAGGTCACGGCTGGGGACTGTCTGTAGGAGATCGGAAAGAACAGAACCAAAAAAATAAAAACTCGAAATAAAAAATAAAAAGGAAGGGGAAATTAAAAAAGAGACAGGAAAAAATATACATGTTATGAAAGGCAAAAAATTACAAACTGAAGAGAGGCACAAAGGACTCCAACATCAATGCAACAGCAGAGGCCAGCAGAGAGGAGCACAGCCAGGCACAAACCACCGATGCGTGTTACAACAGCCTCTGCAGAGAGAAAGGGAGTTAACCTGCCACGGCACCCTGCGCAGCGGGGCCGGGGAGCGGGAGCATGCACTGCGGGATGCAGGAACAAAGCAGCAAAGTCCTCCGGAGCAGGAAGCCAAGCCCTCCGCTTCCCCTCCCACCGGGACGCGGCACCTGGGGCAAGCACGGGTGGCCGAGACGGGCGCACACATGCGTGGGAAGGGAGTGAGCGTGCCCCGGTGACGGGGAGAGCGTGTGCACGCTCGCCTGCAGCTCCAGGCTCTGTTAGGGATGCGCAGTGCTCCCAGCTTGCGTCGGAGACCAGTTTATACAGGCAGCAAGGGCTGCCCAACCCTGGGCTCAACGTCTCCGTCCCGCTGCCCCTTGCACGGCTCCAGCAATCCCCAGGGATTTGCCGGGTGCCCGCAAACCCAGGGGCGCAGTGGTGGGGACAGGAGCGCAGAGCCCTGCGCCGGGCGGGCAGGGAGGACGGGGCATCACTCACTGCTGCTGCAGCCACGGGCAGAGATGGGCTCTGTGCTTGGAGCAGCCCTCGGAGAGACGTCAGATCTGGGCCCCCTCTGGGAGATTTGCTGTTTTTTGGGGTTTTTGCATTTTGCTGGCCAAGCAGCTGAGCAAAACACCTGGCTGCGGGAAAGCAAAGACGGCGCAGGTGCCCCCTTAGGGACCGGCATGCAGCACACGCAGTGGCAGTGGGGAACAAAAGAGAGAACAGCAGGGATGCAAAAAGGAGGAAAAAAAAAAAAAGGAAAAAAAAAAGGACATCAACAGCCTTGGGAACCCAAGGCCACAGGGGAGAGAGACAGTGCGAGGCACCACAGCACGTGTCACAGGAGACAGACAGACAGACAGCCCCGTGCCGATCAGATACGTAAAATATCACCACTCCGGGACCCTCACTGACCTCTAACTTGTTGCTCCAGGTTCAGTATGACTGATACGGCCTGGTGTAGGATTAGCAGTTTGGTCTGCGGTTTTTCGCTGTTTAGGTGGAGTTGGCACATGCGTCCGAGCTCTTTAAAGGCCTCGTTGATGTCACGGACCCGCAGGCGCTCACGGGCATTATTGGCGACCCTCCTTTCTCTCTCTCTCTCGGCTTTTTGCTCTGGGGGAAGAAGATCGTCCTCCTCATCCTCATCTTGACTAATGGTTTAAAATAAGAACGAGACAGGGACATTCCTCGCGTGCACTCTCAGCACTGGTCAACTCACAGAAAAGAAACACACGTTGAGGCACCGAGACGCCAAGCCCCGCGCGTGGCCCCGCAAGCCGGGGTGCTGCGCCCCGCGTGCCCCCGCCGGGATGTGCCGGCCCGGTGCCCCACGCTCAGACATGAGGACACGCAGTGACTTTGGAGAGAAGCAATTAAGGCTCTTCTTCTGCCTCTTTTTTTTTTGTTTTGTTTTTAAACAACAAAGAAAGAAACCACAACAACGTGATTAAGGCCTGAGCTTGTTGCCAGGAGGTTGCAGGGTGGCCCGGAGAAGGTGTGTGGGCCAACACTGGTGTCCCAAGCTGGTGTTTTGGGAAGACGCAGCCCTCTGCCTCCAGGGCAGGAGGTGGCTGCAGTCTGGCAGGAGCGGGACTGGCGCTGCCCCTCCGGGCAGCATCACCCTGGCGAGGTCTCTGAGCCGATGGTGACGCTGCAGACAAGCCAGCACACTGGAAGGACTCTACCTGATCTGCTGCCACATATCTGGCTGGATGTGTCAAGAGGATACAGGAGCCCAAAGCAGACAGCGGAGACGACCCAAAGCAGGGAGGAGGTCAAAACCTTCCCTGCCCCTGGCTGAGGGGAGCTGGGTGCTCGGTCCTTTCTGCACGTGGCCACAAGCAACACCCCGAGCGACCACGCAGGTGGGTGCAGCTCGTGTGGACAAGGCGTGAGCCCTCTGCTTTATGAGCATGAGGAAGCCCTGTGGCCACGGGGACGGGAGCCAGCCGGAGAGGGCAGCAGGGACCCTTCCCCGGCACAGCCCAAAGCGGCTGGCTGCAGGGAAGCAGTGGGAGCCTGGGCTGTGCCGCCTCTGTGCGAGGACAGACAGGGCTCCCGTGGTGAGCAGGGGCTGGTGGGTCTGCGCCGCAGGACGACCCCCGGCCTCACCGGGCTGAGCCCAGCACCCAGTGGGTCATCGTGGCCGTACCCCAGCCCAAATGCCCCCAGCCTGGTAACAGAGTAAGTGAAGAGAGAGACCTGTTCAAAGAGCACCTTGTTCTGTTCCGGGAGGGTTTCAGCTCCTTCTTCTCCTCTTCTGAGTTATCTGCCACCGACGTGTTCTCTTCGTCCTCCTTCTCTTCCCTCTTTATTTCGCTGGTTCCTGAGGAGACGCTGCTTCGCCCCAGCCCCCCTGACAAGCCTGCTGAGGAAGCAGAGCCACACATGGAAGTTGGAGGGGCCTGACCCGCATGGAGGGCTGGGGGATCCCCAGGTCCTGCTCCTGCCATGCTGCATCGCCAGCGTGCGGCATCCCAGACTCATCCCGCATCTCCAGTCCACAGCAAGAGGAGCTGGAGGGGTGCCAGCTCTGCCCTGCCACCACTCCCTGTTCGTCTCCCCCCACCTCCCAGGCCCTCCAGAGTCAGAGCCCAACCTCCCCCAGCAGAGCAGGGCCCGGGGACATTGTGCACCCACAGCTGGTAGGAGGGACAGGAACATGTAGGTCAAACCTCTAGAAAAGGCTCAAGGTAGAAAACTGCCCTGCGGACGCTGCAAGGAAGCACCGGCCTTGCAAGAGCATCCATCTCCCCCCAGGTTGCTGCTGCTCAGGGCTGGACCTAACGGGTGACCCGAATCCCGCCTGCGGCAGGCGAGCCTCAAGCGTGCACGCGTGCAGAGCTGCCTTACCGCTGTACGTGTCTTGCTGCCTGTTGAGGTCAGGGAGTGAGCTGGGCTGTGATGGAAGTGTGACATGGTTGTGGAGCATGCTGGGGTTGCTGGATAACCCGTCTTCGGGGTGACCTCCTCCCACCTACAGCAGAACAAGCAGAGCAAGCCTTGAGGGGGGAAGTGTCACGGCCAGTGGGCATGGGCACAGTCACCCCGAGCACAGCCACGGGGCTCTGCAGACCAGGCTGAGGTGCAGCCGCATGCTCTCCTCGCACATTCCCACCACCCAGAGTCCGGGCACGCAGGAGGGAAGAGCCAACCCGCTCCAGCACTAGCTCTCTTTGGGGGACCGTGGCGGGGGCACTGCAAAAAGCAGCTCCGTGCCCTGCACGTCAGCTGGACCAAGCAGAAAGCCCTCATCGGTGCTGTCTCCCCCCACCATGGAAAAGCGTCTCTCTGCCTGGATACAAGGCTGGCACACTGGAGAGGACACCCTGCCTGGGCCGCACGTGCCCTGTCTCCATCAAGCATCAACGTTTCTGCCACCTCCACAGCACCACCAGAGCAGGGGACATCCCAGCAGCATGAACTTTGGTCCGAAGGGCCTGGACACAAAGGACGAGGGTCAGGCAGCCTTTCTGAGCCTGCCCCCCCCGAGGCTGCACTACGCTGGCCAGGGACCGGCAGGACAGAGCCAGCCCTGCTGCAAACACTCTCATTTCTGCAGCTGGCAGCAGTTTGCAACAGAGGGGACATATGATTCATCGCTTAGTAGCAGAGTCTGGGGAGCTCGGAAGCGAAGCACGTCTGGTTCTCTAGAGACTGGAGACGTGTTACTGTTTGCTGCAGCAGGCAACCAGCTCTGCCAAAAACGTGCTCCTGTGGTCACCAGCCTCTGGACAAGGGGAGGACCCTGGTGACCCAGCATGGGACCCCAGCATCCACATGCTCAGGGCACTCAGGACCTGTCGCGCTCCCTGGAGCCTGAATGAGCCATCACACACATCAGCACTCCCCACGTGTACGGGAGGACACGGTGCCTGCCCAAACGGTTCGCAGCAGAGAAGTCCTGGTGATACCTGGCTCTCTATACCCGCGGTCCTGCCCTGCACTGGATCCCTTTCCTCCTTCTCCCTGCGTCCCCTGGGGATGGCTTAAAGCTGTTTTGAGGGATTTCCATCCATGTTGCAGGGAAAGAAGAGCAGCTTTCACCACCTCTGCCTGCCCCGAGAAGGGGTATGAGCGAACTACATGCAGGGCTTGTGCTCGAGAGCCACCACTGTGCTGAGCGTGGATTCAACCCCCCCTGCACGAAGACGGCAAACCACTGCACTTCTGTGCACATCACCCGTTCAAAGCTGTCAACAGCTGACCCAAGCTGGACCACACTGAGCTATTCTCACACCAAAGGCAATGTCCCTCTGGGTGCCAGGGGACCCCGTGACACGGGTCCCTGGCATGTCCCCGCCAGCTGCCACGATGCTTCCACACTTACCAGACTCGGGTGCCTGTTCCCCAGGGACATGACCGAGGCGGGGAAGGCCTGGCCCAGGCTGCCCACGGTAGCACTGTGGGCTGGCGGTGAGCCCAGGAGCCCGTGCATGTCCCCGTGGTTGCTCGGCATGGCGGCTGTCTGGCCCACGGCGTGATTCCTCAGCACATGAATGGCTTCGTCCAACCTGTCTTCCATTTTGTTTTGCTTGAAGGACAGGACAGAGAAATAGGTCTGTGTTAATGCCTGTAAAGCCAGCAGCCTGCTGCGGCTCTCTACATTAAAGAATGGCTGGTGGCAATCATGCACTCAGCTACCGCAAGGCAGGTACAGGGAGAAATAACGCCCCGACCCCATCAGTGCCATCCCCTAAAGGCACAAGGGGTCACACAAGCAGAACCACTCAGGAAAGGAAGGCAGAAACCAGACACAAACCTGTTGGGCTGGGCCAGACCCACAGGGATGTGAATGAGTCCTAAACAGGGGCAGGGTGCAAGGCTGCACCTCTGCCAGCCACGCTCTGGGCTCAGGGAAGCAGGTGCCCAACTCTGCTCAGCTGTTTCCAACCAAATGTCCATCTATCAACTAACCATCTTCCTTCAGGCCCCAGGCATTTGCGGGAGAAGCCTTCACCCAAAAGCCCTTTACCGCCAGGCGCACGAGGAATGGAAGAGAAAAGGAGAAGGCAGATCTTTCGGCGACACTTACTAAAGTGTGGAGGCTCCCTTCGTAGCTGGGAGATAAGGCACCCTGTCCGCTCGCTTGCGACCACTGGGATGTGCCTGCGAACAAACAGGGAGAGCTTGGGACCGGGCACGGGTGCACATCGCGTGGGC